ATTTCTTTTAATGTTTTATTCGAAGTCGCGTTATAATTTTTGTACGTCGCAAAAGGATATCTCCGTTGTGTTTTGCTACTTCAGCGTTTTGTTTATTTTCAAGTTATATGAACGAATTTTTAAGTTCGTCATTCGTACTTGGGTCGCAGGTAGAGTCAGGTGTGACCTAATAGATTCTCACTTGGTTCGCTGTGTGGATCGCAAGTATGGATTCCAAATTGGACCGCAAATTCTCCGTCAAATTTGTGTTCTTCTGTTTTGGCCCCTTTAGTGGAAATATGTGGCAGTAAAAAAATAATTTGTGTATTATACCAGAATATGGTATAATTTTGAAGCAATATATAGGATGTCCCACCAGTTTGTTATCGTTTTCCTATTTGATCCAATTCTATCTACGTCAGATCTTCGTTCCAGTATGGAAATGGTTTCCTTTTGTTCCAGTTAAGAGTTTTGTCCTTGCAGCTCCAATCCAGAGATAGTAGCAAGTTAAGTGATTATGTAAAGATTAAGGTAACTTTTAATATATTAATTTTTCCAACTTATATGGACATTATTAATAATTTCTTTCATTAAAATAAAAGAATTTGTGATAATTAAAGTTTTATATTATGTTGTCGTAGACAAAAATGTCATAATTTAATCCATTTAATCCATTATTGCTATAAGACAATTTTAATTTGATTATATTATATAAAAGATATTACATATATGTAAGATTAAATTCAATAATATTTTTCATAAAAAGGATATCCATAAAACAAAGACATGTAAGTTTTTATTAATTTGGATTATGTTGTAGGTATAATATATTCTTGTATTTCACCATGTTGTAACTGTTTGTGGTGACATAAAAATAAATGTTAAATTTTGTTTTCTTTTTTGAGTTCTATTTGAAAAAATATGTTTTTGACGTTTTATAATTATTTCCCTAGTTACAACTAGTGGTTGTAATAGGTATAATTAGGCACCTCAACTGGCGCCCTATATTATATTCCTTGAGGTGTTTCCTGTTTATTTTCATTTTGTTTGTCCCAAAAGATTTGTATAAGTACCCCTCTATTTCTTTTTTTTTGTAGTTGCCCCAATCCAACCCCCTTATCTTCAACTTTTCCACGACCCAGCTCTCCAACAACCAACTGAGTGCCGTACGCACTAGTTTCGATAATTTTGTTTGCCCAATCTTCTACCCCATGTTCTTACTCTGAGGTAAGCAAAATAGTCGTTACAAGTTGGAAACCATGAATAATTTGGAGCAAGCAGTTCGTGACGAATGAAAGCAAATCCCTCAAGCAGACTTTACTGCCCTAATCCGAAGTATACCTGATCGCATGAGAGGCTTAATTAGAGCTCTTGGAGGTACTACACTCTACTAAATATCGTTTTCCATACAAAACCAAAAAAAAAATTTTTTTTTCTTTGCAGATTTTACAATTTTTTAAATTGTTTTTGTTTTTAAATTTTATAAATTTTGTTTATTATACTCAATTAGGAAGATCTTAAACTTTTTTAAACGCCAGTTTTTAAAAAAAAATCTTTCTGGTCAAAAAAAATCAAAAAAGTTTCTGGTTAATTTTGCACCCCAGCAGTGTTACCAACTGGTAATATTATACTGTATTTTACAATTTCATCAACGTAAATTTCGGCCGATTTTTCACACTGTGTAATATTTATCACCGTGAATATTTATCTAAATGTCAAAAATTAAGTTTCTAAATGGTGGTTTTCATAATAGAAACTTATAAAATTTTAATTCCAGTCTGTATAACTAAACCCGATTGAAGGTAAGAGACAGAAAGACAAACCATAAATTTCCCGCTTTCCTGTTTCAGTAAACGTCAAGTTCAGTTCCTATAAAAATTACTACCTTGCACTTCCTGGAAATCGGGATTTAATCTTTATGTTAATGGATGAATTCGCAAAATCAACAGAAAATTGAAATTTTGCGATGTACTAAATAAAAGCTGCCGAAGTATGAGTAAGCAACTTTCCGGAAGACAAGATGAAAAATGATCGTTATTCAAGTCAATTCAAATAGAAATATAGAGATATAAAATAATATAAACTGGTATTTAATGAACTGTTTTCAAATAGAAAGAAAAGAAATAATGAATTTAAAATTTATTATTAGACGTGATTTTCAATGAAATAAAAAAATGAGTTTACTATTTTTATTGGAAATAAGCCACAATTTTAAAACTCACAAGGAAAATGAAATTTCTGTAGCTGTATACCATAAATCACAATTTTTTTTAAATCCCTTATAAAACGTCTATCTATCTATACAGCCCTAAACATCCATCCTTGGATATAGGCCTCCTCCTCCTTCTTCCATGCCTCTCTATATTGGGCAATTTGCATCCATTTTAACCCGACGTGTTTCTTCAGGTCATCTGACCATCGCATTTGTGGCCTTCCCCTTTTTCGTTTGTGATTCCATGGTCTCCAATGTATAATTGTCTTAGTCCATCTTTCATCTTTCTGCCTTAGGATGTGTCCGGCGAACTTCTATTTAAGCTTTGCTACTTGGGTTGAAACATCTTTCACTTTTTATTTATTTATATATTATATATATATATATATATATTATATATATATATATATATATATATATATATATATATTTATTTCACGTTTTATTGCGGATCCATTCGTTTCTTTTTCTGTCTGATAGTTTAATGTTCAGCATTTGTCTTTCCATGGATCTTTCTGTCTTTGCTATTTTTTCCATATTTTCCTTTGTAAACGTCCATGTCTAAGAGCCATATGTGAGGACAGGGAGTATACATTGATTGAAGACTCTCGTTTTTAGGTATTGGAGGAATTTTGAATTCTTAAGAATATAAGACAGTTTTCCGAATGATGCCCAGGCCAATCTTGTTCTTCTCTTTATTTCTTCGGTCTGATTGTCTTTATTTAATTTAGTGATTTGGCCTAGATATATATACTCTTTTACTTGTTCTATTCTTGTTTGTGCCACTGTAATTATTAGTTCTTCTGGTTGATTAGTCTTCGTTTTTGTTTTACTGTAATTCATCTTAAGTCCAATTTTTGTCGATTCTATATCTAGTTCTTCCACCATTATTTGTAATTCTTCACTTTTTTCTGTTATTAATACAATATCATCAGCATATCGTAAATGATTCAGATTTTGCCTGTTTATGTTAATTCCCAAGCCATCCCAGTGTAGTCGTTTGAAAACATCTTCTAGTGCTTGGTTGAATAGCTTGGGCGAGATGGTATCTCCTTGTCTTACTTACTTACGGTTTATTTTAATAGGTTCCGTTTGTTTCATTAGCTTAATAGTTGTTGTTGCCTTGTTGTATATATTTGTAATTAAATTAAATTAAATGGCACTTTTCCTAGTGGAACAACAGAATGGACGCCGTTACAATGAACCCTACAATAAGCACTAGACAAGTAAGTCGAGAACTCAATGTTACTCAATCAAAAGTAAGTAGAGTCTTACAAAAAAATAATCTATACCCATATCACATTCAAATGGTTCAGCGACTACATGCTGGAGATGAGATCGATAGGTTGGAATTTTGTTGATGGATTAACAATAATCGACCAACGCTATACAGGACACGATTTACAGATGAAGCCCAATTTACCAGAGACGGGATAAATAATTCACGAAATTCACATGTGTGGGCAGAAGAAAATCCCCATGCTATTCGAGAACGTCGTTCTGAGTTAAGGTTTTCGGTTAACGTGTGGATTGGTGTCATAAATAATCAATTAGTAGGTCCTCACTTTTTTGATGGTCCTTTAACAGGGCAGGTCTATTTGAACTTTCTACAAAATATTTTGCCGAATTTGCTTGCCAACACGAACGTTGCTATCCGAGGGATGTATTTTCAGCATGATGGGGCACCCCCACACTTTTTACTGGCAGTGAGACAACATCTCAATAATGTTTATGGCAACAGGTGGATAGGACGTGCAGGTCCTATTTCGTGGCCTTCAAGATCCCCTGATTTCAATCCCGTTGATTACCATATTTGGGGACGATTGAAGCAACTAGTTTACGCAGTGAATATTAATAACCGACAACAATTAATTGATAGAATTATACATTGTTGTAATACTCTTAGAAACGATCCCCAGAGTATTCGTAATTCAATACGTCAATTAACAATTCGGCAACACCAAATGTGTATAGGCTGCAGGGTTCCATTTCGAAAATCTATTTTGAATTATTTTTATTTTGTTACCATTATTGTATCTTTTCCAGTTCTAATTTATGGGTTTATCATAACTATGTACATACTTTTAATTTTTTTTTTAATTGTTCTTCGTTATTGTTAGTAGTTACTGTTTTTTGTTGTGCAGTAACTCAGTTTATCATTTCAATTAAAATGTTTGAAATTTATAACATTTGTTTAAATTAATTACCTTATAATTTGATACTTCATTATGGTTGTTCTATTTTTGGTAAGATTTGATCGTTCACTAAAAATTTAATAAAAGTGCGACAACATTGTCGCATATGTTGTTTTTATTGGCTTTTTATGTAGTTCATCATATGTGAAAATCACTTATTGCATTTAAAAGAATATATATACAGGGTGTAATATTTAATACGAATCCCTAAATTAATTTTTCCAAAGCCAGTCCAGGAATTTTTTAGTTTAGCTAATACCAGTCGAATGCTTGATAGTAGTGTACTGTATCATGCAAAAATTTAAAAAATCAAATGAGCCGTATAAACACTACAGTAAAATGAAATAAATGGTCAATTACACAAATTACCCTGTTAATTAATAAAGAAGAGGAGTTGACATTTTTTAGTGGCCACATGATATGCTTCCTGAGGGAAGCATATCATGTGGTAGAAGCCTCTACATATGGTAGAAGTATGTAAAGTTCCTCATGACTCACCCTGTATACAGAGTATCGTATATTAATATTGCCAATTTAAAATATATAATATCTAAAATAATAGACTAATTATTTCTTATCTGAAACCATAATGAATAACCAAAATATATTTTTAGGAGAAAATACAACAAATATTTGTGGAATAGAAAGCTTAAAGTGTATGAAAAACGCCGAAGCGAGATACGAACTCGGAGATCTTAGATCAAAAATTAGTAAAACAAATACAAACTCAAACAGTACCAGACGCCAGCGATATAGAAAAACGATTAAATTAAATTGTGACTGCATGCCAATGTGTTCCGATCTGACTTATAACGTAGAAACTTCTCAGAGCAATTGGGAATGGATGGAAACCTTAAAAGCCGAGACCAAAAATGGAACGATATTATATGGAGTCGACAAGTATGTACGATTCATTTTTTTTATTTGTTTAAGATACATATTCATTGTATATAATTTTGTTATAATTTTCTATTTTTTAATTTTTTTTAACAATGTGATCCAGTTAAATTGAAAATATCCGTTTTCTTTGAAATTGTTAACCAATTTAAACCATTTATTTTATGTTTCGTAATAGTTCATTGTTTCCTTTTGGTTAATGTGAATCTTAGTAGGATTTTCAGGGTTAACAGTACATACAAATTGTTCAGGTGTTGCCACGCACTTACGATAATTTTCCTTTTCATTGTCGTTTGCATTCACAAAATCCTAAAACAATGTAAAATTGTAAACTTATAATTATTCATGTTAAAAAAATACAAATCACGATCATCAATATAATAATAATTATCTTACCTATGCACATCCAATGGTTTCCACAGTCAAACTTTCTTTAAAAGGGATGTGTACATGTGTTTTTTGTGTGTTCATGATCTTCACTGTTTTTAAACACTGCTGTTGTTTATTTGTCTTTTCAGGCTTTAAATTTTCTTCTGCAGCCTTTATTAATAATTCCTGAATATTGCTCCACTTTTCATTGACATCTTCTGACGTTAAGATTTCTTCTCTCAATTCTGTTAGATTTGAGTTAACTTGTTGGGTCACTTTTTGATGTATTTCTTTTTTTCTTGATTTTGTGTAATCAAACAATGATAGAGTTTTCTCTAATTTCCACCAATTGTTGGGGGGTAAGCTTCTTAAATTCCTTTCCCCGTGCATCTACAGTTCCAAATATTTTAGGACCATGGACTGTACAAGAGTTTCCTTCGATATATACAAGCAGACTTCACGGCGCTGGTTCTTTATGTGTTTGGTTTAATAGGGGTTGTACTTAGAGAAAAATAAAGCGTAATTATTCCAATCTACACATTTAATAACGAGAGAATATTTTCACAAGCACTAATACTAACAAAAGAGTTCGCTTTGAAACATTGTCCATTATTCTATCGGCGTTTTAGGGAGCGCGAAAGTATCAAGAAAAACAAATACACATTTCACTGCATTTTAGCGGCGAAGAGAGGGCTTAGTCGCTAGGTACCGGCTGGTACCGCACAGTTTGATACTCTAGTCACATCTGCGAGAGATTTTTTTGATTGAATCTTTACCTAAAAGTGCCGATAAGGCGGCGTCGGTTTTACCACCATACAACCCTTATAATCTATTTATGGCACAAATATTTTGCAGGCAAAAATTACAGTCTGTAGCATAAAATCCAAACTAATATTTGTGAGAACTAAAAATTACACTAAAATTAATATTAAATGTTGTTTTTACAACACAAACGTTGGTTTATTTTTAGGTATTACAATCTTTATGAGTTTCACGTGGATTCTAACTATCTAGCTTTTACTGCTTGAATTGAGTTTTTGTATCTATTTTTGACTAATATATAGTCTATTTGATTTCTGACTAGGCGGCCTTTGTTGTCTGCAGGAGATCTCCAAGTGTACAATCTTCTATCGGGTAGTTGGAACACTGTGTTCAATATTGCAAAATGTTCATTTTGACAAAAATCTACAAGTCTATCCCCTCTTTCGTTTTTGTCACCTAGTCCAAATTCCAAAATATATTCGTCAATTTTTCCTCTCCCGACTTTAGCATTAAAGTCCCCCATTACTATTGTTATGTCTTCTTTTTTAATAGATCGTTAAATTGTTTCTAACTCCATATAAAAATGTTCTATCTCCTCTTCATCTTTATCCGCTGTTGGTGCGTATACTTGAATTAAGTTAACTTGTTGTATGATTTATTAGTTTCTGTGTCTAACAAGATTGCGACTCCATAGCGATTAGCCGGATCGTTGTTTCCAGTATAATACATCAAGCCGTTTTTAGTTAAAAGTATGGATATTCAAAATGAAACAGTGCGGTACTAAACTGACCCAAACATAAACTACCCACAGGGCTGTCCGATTTCAACATGTGTTAGCAATAGATCAATAGAGGGCACTATGTTCGGTCAATTTATGACTAAAACTCAAAATTTACGAATTTTGAGTTGTGCCACTTTATTATTAAATGTGCGATATGTCCATTATTGTAAAAATGTATAATATGTAAAACATATTTAAGCATGTCAATAACAACAATAATACAAATCAAGTTAGAGATAAATTATTTTTTTTTATATACGAGTATATTGAAAACCTATATATATTTTACCTATCATATTTGGCATATATATGTATATACTACAGTACATTTAATATTTTTTCACTCTGTAAAAGGAGAAAGCGTTATAAAAAATAATGAAAATCTGTTTTAGCTACTACGTATCCAAACTCATTCTATTCTTCAAATCCTCGCAGTTTATTACATCAGAGAGGCACGAATTGTACGGTCCCACGGACTTTTTGGCGAATTTCGGCGGATTACTAGGACTCTTTACAGGATTTTCGATTCTCTCCCTCATGGAAGCCATTTATTTTTTGACAGTCCGGCTATGCTGCAATTCCAGACTTTATGGTTATTGGGCCGGGCCCGAAAAGTAAAACATTTGAATTTATATTGAAATTTTGTGTTTACCGATTTAAAATCTCTACTTTATTTCATAATAAAAATGTTATCATAAAATAACATCTATGGATTTTTGCGGTTAACTTCTATTGATATTGATCTTTTGACCCAAATAAACATTCATAAAAATATAACTTTTCTTTTATTTCAATCTGCTGTTTCTCAAGTTGAACATGAATTGCTTTATATAGATTTGAGATTATCATTACTGTTTGTTTATTTTCTTGTGGCATTTTAATATAATTACAATTTTTTTTGGGAATAAGCCACAATTTGGTTTAGAATAAGATTGTTTGTACGTTTCGATCTCCGCGACGAACCAAACGATAAACGTCTGGAGGAAATCGTTCGGAAAGTAGTTCGTAACACGATGCCGAAGAGAAGCGAAACCAGATGTTGAAATGGTGACGACGTAGGTAACATTCCAAGTAAATTGCAAGAAATAATACAACACTCAAAAAAATGTGCAACGTTATACACTAATTGACCTAAAATTAATTCTTTTGCCTCCTCTTCACGTAAAGTTAGGATTAATAAAGCAGTTTGTCAAAACTTTAGATAAATAGTGTGACTATTTAAATATCTGTGCAACAAATTTCCTGCACTTTCTAAAGCTAAACTTAAAAAGAATTTTTGTGGGTCATCAAATTCGAACCTTAAAATCGGACAGATTGTTCCAGAATACAATGACCCAGAATGAATCTAAAATGTAAAATTCTTTCGTAGAACTCGTAGACGATTTCCTTGGAAACAACAAGTCTCTTTCTTCATATGAAGAAATTGTAGCTAACATGGTAGAAAATTATAAAAAACTGATATGCAATATGAGCGTCAAACTTTATTTTTTGGATTCCCACGTTGACAATTTTCCCGAAAGTATTGAAGCTGTCAGCAACGAACTGGAGGAAAGGTTCTATCAAGATATAAAGGAGATGAAGAGACGTTACCAAAGAAGATGGGATATAAGAATGATGGCTAATTACTGTTGAACATTGAAGAGAGAATCAATCACAAAAATCTATAAAAAGAAGATCACAAAATGCAGTTTTCCTGGAAAAAGGAAACAGTTTTATTAAAAAAAAACAAATATTGTCTAACGTAGGTTATACTGAATTCTTTATTGTTTAAGAAAAACTCAATTTTGCAGTGTAATTTTATATTAAATAAGGTTTCAATAAATATTTTCTCAGTATTTTTGACAGTTTCTGTGAAAAATTTCAAACACACTTTTTTTGAAAACCTGACGTGCTGGAAAAAAACTAAGTACATATTCGTAATCAGCACATCCCATTTACTATAGGACACTTATTCAACTTAAAACACTTTTTCATGAAAATAAAAATGTAGGCCTGTGAATCAATGGCATCCTCAACAGCTACAAGACGCTCAAGCAGATGATCCATGTATAAAAAGAGTATTGGATTGGATGCGTCGAAGTAAAAGACCTTCTTGCCAAGACATAAGTACATGTAGTCCCGAAGTAACGTATTACTGGAGCCAATCGAATGCCTAGTGCTAGAAGATGATCTTCTGAATAAAACCTTTGAGAACGATGATGATACAGAAATTAAGCTGCACTTGATTGTACCTAAAAGTAAAGTGTCAGAAGTATTGCGTGACGATGCATGAGGTGGACACTTTGGTAATACGAAGACTCTGTAGAAGGTTCCAGAACGGTTCTATTGGGTGAAATATAAAGATGGTGTAAGAAGATGGTGACGGAAATGGGAACTGTGTGCAACCAGTAATAGTCCAGTTGGTAAAAATAGGGCACGCACAAAACAGTAAAATGTTGGTAGTCCTATGAAAAGAGTAGCAAGTGGTATTGCAGGTATACTTACAAAGACGAATGATGAAAATAAATATATCCTGGTAGCCATGGATTATTTTACAAAATGGACTGAGGCCTATGTGACACCAAATCAAGAAGCTGCTACCGTTGCAGAGCTACTTGTTAAAGAATTCTTTAGCCGATTTAGAGATAGATCAATGTTCATTCTCAGTGAGATAGGAAAGAAATATTTATTTCGATAGGAAAGAATGATTGATTGAACCCGTTTAGGGTCGGTTGATCCTCTTCAGACATGAGTTTAAATGTCGTTGCTAGCGTGTACAAAGGCAAACACCCAAAATCACCGGCGTAAAGTTCTTCTCCGTCTTCTTTTTAATGTTTTTTGCTCCTTTTCTTCACCTGGAGGAGTTTGAATCGACATACCGGGAGCCAGAGAACCAGAGGGAAAGGCTTTACCGAAAGTGTTGTTCTTTCCAGTTTGTCGTGTGTGTGTTTTTGAGCTAGATGCAACAAGACCGGGTCTCTAGTGACCATTGGTCCTGAGCAGTCTCGAGCTTTACCCGGCCCCGAATTCAGTGTATTGCACTGAAATTTTGTGGACGGGTGTGCTCGTGAGTGGAGGCGCTTTGGCTTTCGAGTCGGCTTGTCGTAGTTCGCTCAGTGTGAATGTGTGTTATATTCCAACAGTAACGGACGCTACCATTTCGGTGTAACTGACTCCTCGAACCACTTAGATTCTCCCCGGCCAACCACAGACTCCGTGTAATGAAAGAGGACCGCTTTCACTGTTGGAATGTGTGAGTTGTGTGTGTGTGTGTGTGTGTGTGTGTGTGTGTCCCAGGATATTTATGGCAACTTGTGTGTGAATAAGCCTGCACTCTGGTAACTTCTAAAATTGTGGCAACTTACACACGTTGCCAGAATTTTGTTGGTATTTATTTCACTAACATCACATCATTTCGTCATGATTTTGAAGCAATAAACTGAAAATTTGGTTTACATTTCAGTAGATACTCGTTTTTTGAAGAAATGTCCATAAATTTCTTTTTAATTTAATTTCTCTAGAATATGTGTGAGTTTCCATTATTTAGTTTGAGGCATGTTACTAACACAAGCCAAATTGTAGCAACGGGGGCGTGGTAAGATAGTGGCTCCCTCTACTTAACAATGCGATGTTGCTGGACCGTTATTTTAGTTCTAGTTAGACTTTAGAGTTGAGTTGCCGCAATTTGGATTGTGTGTAGGTGAAATATTAACATGTACAAAACGAGATTACAAAAGCTGAAAAATGCTGTTAACAAAATAAATGCTGCTAATGAAATTACATCTAAGACAAAACAACAATTACTCGAAACCAAATCATGTGATAAGTTGCAAAATAACCTTATATTTCTTCCAAAATATGAATCTACAAAATGTCTAAACAGAGAGGAACGTGAACAAGTGTTGGATTCCAAACACGTGCTATTGAATGATACGACTTTAAATGGTAAGTATATTATGTAATATTTTTGTACTTTAGTTTGACTATTCAATTCAAAATATCTATCCACCTATTTCACCAGTCAGATTTAAAAATCACTGAATGCAATTTACGTTTCACCACGCCATATATACAGTGCGTCTATAAAGGCATTCATTCATTATTAGTTAAATAAACGATAAAATTAGAAATACCCGAAACAGGTTGATTTTAATTTACTATTTGTTTAAATTATGATCTAGTGTACAGGGTGAACCACATTCGTGTAATTACATCATCACCATTTTGATGTTTGCTTCTTATTGCACGACATAAGAATTTTTTCATTTTCTTATATCAAACTACAAGTAGTACAAGCTAATTTTTTTAATTATACGTGGACGTTTTATTAAATCGTTTAGTTGTTTATTATTTTTAGTAAGATGGTACAAAATAGTAAGATAGTACAATAAATTTAAACTACGAGTTGCCATTTAATAAAAGCGGCAAATAGCTTTCCAATCGAATTACACGCAGTATTTTTTCTACGACTACACGATATTAAAGAAATATGCATTTTCCATTTTGTTAGAACAAACTGCAAGTTGTCATTTATTGAAAGCGTCATATAGCTTTCCAAGCGAATTATACTGCATATTTTTTCTACGACCACAAGATATTAAGGAAATATACATTTTCTAGTTTCCTAGAACAAGCTGCAAGTTACCATTTATTGAAAGCGACATATAGCTTTCCAATCGAATTATACAGAATATTTTTTGTACAATTATACGATACTGAAGGAATATAATTTTTTCATTTTCTTAGAACAAACTACAAGTTGCCATTTATGGAAAAGGGCAAATAGCTTTCCAATCGAATTACACACAGTATTTTTTCTACGACTACACGATATTAAAGAAATATGCATTTTCCATTTTCTTAGAACAAACTGCAAGTTGCCATTTATTGAAAGCGTCATATAGCTTTCCAATCGAATTATACTGCATATTTTTTCTACGACCACAAGATATTAAAGAAATATGCATTTTCTAGTTTCCTAGAACAAACTGCAAGTTGCCATTTATTGAAAGCGACATATAGCTTTCCAATCGAATTATACAGAATATTTTTTGTACAATTATACGATACTGAAGGAATATAAATTTTTCATTTTCTTAGAACAAACTACAAGTTGCCATTTATGGAAAAGGGCAAATAGCTTTCCAATCGAATTACACACAGTATTTTTTCTACGACTACACGATATTAAAGAAATATGCATTTTCCATTTTCTTAGAACAAACTGCAAGTTGCCATTTATTGAAAGCGTCATATAGCTTTCCAATCGAATTATACTGCATATTTCTTCTACGACCACAAGATATTAAAGAAATATGCATTTTCTAGTTTCCTAGAACAAACTGCAAGTTGCCATTTATTGAAAGCGACATATAGCTTTCCAATCGAATTATACAGAATATTTTTTGTACAATTATACGATACTGAAGGAATATAAATTTTTCATTTTCTTAGAACAAACTACAAGTTGCCATTTATGGAAAAGGGCAAATAGCTTTCCAATCGAATTACACACAGTATTTTTTCTACGACTACACGATATTAAAGAAATAAGCATTTTCTAGTTTTTTCGACAAGACTAGAAGTGGTAATTTATTCAAAGCGGCAAATAACTTTCCAACTGAATTACCCACAATATT